GCTGGAAATTGGTGAAGAGGTCATGGCTGCATTCCCCTTTTCCGTAATAACTCCCCTCCCTGCCCAACACACTCTCACACACACACTTTCAAGCTGCCTACAAGTTATGTCCCTGATTCAGCAAAGATTTTGGTATGTGTATGGGACTATTTAAAGTGGATAAACTTAAGTCTTTGCAGGACATGACCCTTTAAGTTTGAAGTTATAACTTATTGCACAGGGACTCTTGCAGCCTTGAAAGGAGAGGTTGAAAGAGACCTGTATCAGAATATCCTATAGCTCAGTGTGTGGGACACTATTGTGGTAGGATTTGAAAAGGCATCTTCCACCTTTCTTCCCATCAAGTAGAGAAGGGAATTGACCCCAGCTCCATCACTTTTCAAGTGAGTGCTCTAACTTCTGAGGCATCACAGGTACCTACACTACCACCTCAGCATTTTTGCAAGAAATGTCTAAGCTACATGTCCTCAGAAGCTTTCTGAAACCTATTTCTGATAACATTGCATATGTAGGTACTTGTATAGCCCACAGCACTTTTTTTAAAGAAACAAGGATGTTGCCAAACTCATGGAGACTGACAAAGATTTGTTGTCTGAACTTGATTTTATATACCCTTTGCTTTATTAAACTATGCTTAAATGTAATTCTAGGTAGGAGGGTGGGAATTTTTTTTCCATAGACAAAAGATTAATCATATCATGACCTGTATTTTAAGAATTGCAATAGACTAAGTCCATCCTGCTCCTGTCCTGCAAGGAGCATGCGGTGCTTAGAAGCGCTGCCTCCCTCGCAGGGCAGGAGGAGAATTTGTGCACTGCCCTCAGGCCCTGATTGGCCTGGGGGTAATGGGAGTTGCAGGGCATCCACAGGCCGGATCAACTTGCTTGGCAGGCCGGATGCAACCTGCGGAAGCCCTTTTGCCCACCCGTGCTCTAGGGTACACAGGCACATACAAAGAACTTTAACCCAGTCACCTCCTCAGTAGAGCCATGCATTCACTTATCTGGCACATGGAAGGTAAGCTGCTGCTGGTGAACGTGGGCTTGATGAGGATGGTCAGGCCCATATGGTGGCTTCCCTGCTACTCCCAAGGCCGGGCTGCATGGAGGGTGGCTGCCCTGTAGGCCAGGGCTGGCTCTGGCTCCATCTTCAGCCCTGGCAGACTATGTGGCAGCTGCCAGAGTGGAGGCCAGGGCTGCAGTGCAGCTGCTCCTATGGCACCATTGCCCTGGGTCCAGCTGCTGGCCATTGGCCCCACCCCAGGAGCAGCTAGGCAGCCACCATGTGGCCCTGATCCCAGCTCCAGCTCTTCCCCAGGTCTGCATGGTGGCTGCTTGGCTGCTGCTGGGGCCGGAGCCACTGCCAGGTGCTGCTCTGAGGGCTGGGCCAGACCTGATGTGCCTCTGCTCCAGGGGCCAACTACAGACATTCCCAAGAGCCGGAGCTGTGACTGCTGCCCAGATGCTCCTGGGCCACGTGGTGATTGTGGGGCAGCTGGTCTTGGGGCTGGGGCCCCCTGCACCAATCTTTACCCCCACCACTGCCCTCTGGCTCTCAG